ACTGTTAAAGATTTAAGATGCTCATTTACGCATTACTCAGTATTAACCTAGCTGACGTGATACTGCACATATTTACTACCATTATCAGCGTACCACGAAGAGGAGGAACAGGCTCTGCCTTTCCAAAGAGCATCAGCTGAGGGCTACTCTGTGTTGCAGAAGACATTTCACCTGGACTCTGCAGGTGTCTACACTGAGCCCTACCCCAGGTTGCATTTCCAGTTGACGAAATAGTGCCTGCATTGGTGAGAGCTCTTGTCGAGTGGAGCAGTGTGCAGCAGAGGGACAGAAAGGTTTGCAGAAAGAAGGGTCATAACCCATCTCTGGGGATCAAGGCTGTGCTTGGCTCGGTGGATCTGGGTGTATCAGCGAATCTGGACATGCTGCCAACCTTCTGGGCTCCTCTGCCACCAATGAATAAGACTATTTGCCTATGACATGTTTAAACACATCTTATTGAAATTTGCACTCTATTTCTATACCGTTCCAATAAATGTGTCTATAGAAATCACGGTTACACCCACATATGTCATCATTGCTACGGACCATCAGAAACAGCTGAGCAGCTCAAACTCCTTCCCCAACAGATGGAGATGACTGCAGAGAGCCCAGAGCTGCTGGCCAGATGGTTGTAGTCCCTCATCTTTACTATCTCCAGCACACTCACCGCTGCCTTCCCTCCATGCTGGGGTGAGTTGTTGTCACTCCTCCCTCTGGAAATCAGCCTAGGATGTTCAGCCTGGAGAAGAGAAGGCTCCAGGGAGACCTTACTGCAGCCTTACAGTACTTAAAGGGGGCTTATAAGAAACACAGGAACAGACTTTTTAATATGGCTGTAGCAACAGGACAAGGGGTAATGGTTTTAAAGTAAGAGAGGGTAGACTTACACTAGATGTAAGGAAGAAATTTTTTATGATGAGGGTGATGAAACGCTAACACAGGTTGCCCAGAGAGATGGTAGATGCCCCATCCCTGGAAACATTCAAGATCAGATTGGACAGGACTCTGAGCAAACTGATCCAGGTGAAGATGTCCCTGATCACTGCAGGAGGGCTGGACTAGATGATCTTAAAGGTCCCTTCCAAATCAAACCAGTCTAAGATTCTATGATTTTCCTCCTGACAACTCAGCACACATTATCCCTGTGCCCAGCTCATTTGCAAACATTAAAACTCTCACAGAAAAGTAAAATTCTCTTTATATAATTCGTAGCGGTAGCTGTGTTGCAATCGCTGCTTGTGTATGTTCCCCATTCAGCTTCAAAACATATTTTGGCAGTTGGAGAGAGATCACATTTAGATGATATTTAGAGAGATCATGATTATTTCCCTCCTGGTTGCACAACAGCTCTGCTTCTGCTCCCCACCCCTGGGAAACGGGTAAGTGAAATCCCCGAACGTTTCGCTAACCTGTTCATAGCCTCAGCTCCGGGAAAGGGGAACTTGGTGAAGAGTTTTATTTAGTGCCCTGGGGATATCAGTGGCAGTGGAGAGCTCAAGCCGTGAGCCTCTTGATATAATGACACGTTGTATGATCCGTTCCTGTTGGGTGTTTTCCACCAGCGTTTCATGGTTTGTGCCTCTGGAGATGCCACTGGTGAGAGGGGACCTTCTGCTGTGGGGGCTGCTGGTTTGAGCAGACTGGTAAAATACCCCGGCTTCCCTCTCCTCTGTCCTCCCTGTCTCTGCTCTTACACCCAGACCCACCCTCACTTCTTGAACAGTGAAATCTCCTTCCTACCACAGAGCAGGAGGAGACTGGGTCCCTTTGGAGGTCTTTGAATGACGTAAAGCAAACAGTAATAAAAGCCCCAGCAAAAAGTCCTGTCCCAGAAAGAGCATCTCTGGAAGCTGGAAAGAGGAAGAGGAGGGAAGACTAGAAAGCAGAGAGGGATTGAGGTGTGAAATCTTCTCGTGGCAATTGCATTTCCTTCTCTGGGGTGAAGAGCATCTCCTGCCTTGACTATTCCTGCCAACATCGCTTGGACAGTTGTTTCTCCTAGGTATCACCAACCCACTTCAGCCTCTGCTGCCACAGGTTCGATGGATTATTCTCCATGAAATCTGGGGCTTTCCATTGCAGGGGAAGATGAAACAAGCAGAGCTGGCTCCATCATCTCCTGCACAAGAAGAGAAGGAAAAAGACCCACAGAGAATCCCCCAAAGGTGAGCTGGTTGGAGCTGAGGCTTTGCGTCAGCCCAGAGGGAAGGGGGACAGGGCTCATGGCCTTGCCTGCACACAGTCGAGATTTTCAGGTCCTGGCCCATGGCCAGCAGTTGGAGAAAGGGGTTCTGTCACCAGCACAAAGCAGAGCTTGGCTGGCAAGAGGCAACGAACAAAAGTTCTCAAAAAGTTCACGAGGACTTAGCTTTTCCATTGAGGGGAGAAAAAAAAAAAAAGAGAAAACAAGAGAGAGATTTCCTGGAAATGAACCAACTTCTTAAATATTCCCTTCAGAGGTCACCTCCGCCTCTCTCCTATCCCACTCTGAGCCGAAGGGCTGCGGGGAAAAACCATCCCCCAGCAGCTGCGATCGCTCTACCTGCTCCTGGAGCGCGGGGGCCGGCAGCAGCCCGGTGGGATGCAGCCTGCTCCACCACGCGAACCAGCTCCAAAACTGGCCTATCGTTTTGGTTATTCTCCCTGTTTTCCAGCACAGCAGGAGCCCTCCACGCACACGGTGTCTTTGCCGACAGAGCTGAACCGGGGCACGCTGGCCGTGCCGCAGCGCGTGCCCATCGTCCCAGCGCGGAGCGGGTGAGGCAGCTCCCTGCTGCGGGTGCTGTGCGTTCCCCATGGTAACTCCTGCCATAACTTCAGTCTTATTAACAGGGAGATTCTTATTTATTAGATTTAATAATGCCCTCTTTATGCAGCAAAGCCACAAAGGGCCATTCACTACCAGCTGCCTCCAGCGCCGGTCCCCAAGCGCCATGTCCTCAAACGGGCATCCCAGAGCGACAGCGGAGAACAGCCCATGGCTTTGGGGTTAGGTGAGAGAAACGGGGCCAGACGGTAATTTTTGAGTGCTGGGGACCAGAGGAGTAAGGCATAGGCGTGCTCAAGGTTTGGGAGCTCAGGGACAGCATTTCACCCTGCAAGGCTTTGGGGAGCAAAGGGATATTGGAAAAATGTCTGGATGGGAATGACAGGGATTTCCAGGTCTCCTTGTCCTCTCGCAGCTGTGACAGAGGTAGGAAAACGATCTAATTCAAATGTTAGCTAAGCAACTCCCCTTAAGTGAAAGTAAGCAACAACAGCGAAGTGGTATTTTTGAGAATTTGAAGGAACTTCACGCAAAGCAGAGATGCAAGATTCAAAACAGCATGGGACAAACTTCTGCAGAGTTGGAGGAGGGTAAAGCTGAGAAATGTTAAGCAAAGGACTGATGTCCTGCAGGAAGCCCATGGCAGGGCTGCCCGTGGTGGCCTACAAGATAGTGTCCTGCCTGCAGACAGCCCGCGGGGTAAAAGCAACGTACCCCAGCCCTGAGCAGCTCCTCCTGTGTTCCCCCTTCACAGCAGTGGTGCCACAGCTACATGTGCTTTCTCCTGGGTAGGTACCTCCAGATCTCACAGCTCAACTGTCCCAAAAACATCCTTTCTTCAGAGCAGCCCGGGGGGGGGAAAAAAAAGCAGGAGATGGAATCAGCATTAAACAGAAAGTTATTTGTGTTTGCTCTGGAAGAAAAGGCACTGTGAGCTGTTTTGCAGCCATGCTGCAAGGGCAGCGAGCATCTCCAGCCGGGCACACGCCACGCTCCGGCTGGCAAACCCGCGAGAGGCTTCATCGCAGCGAGCACAAGCCCATTCCCGTGCAACACAACCAGCCGCACGTGGCTGTCCCAGAGCAGAGCCAGATGTTCTTCAAGCAGAAGAAATGAGGCAAGGCAGATGTTGGCAGCCTGGATGGTGTGGGAGTCCAATTCTCTTTTTCCATTCGCTTGAGACAGAAGAGGAAATCAGTGTTGGATTACACGTCGGCATGTGAACCGGGGAGGGAGTGAACAGGGTGTATCAGGTCCTCAGCTAATGCGAACCAGCGTACGCTCTCCAGTTCTCAGCACGTGGGTACTGGGATGTCGTAACAAGCATCTCTCGGAGTATTTAATTTCTAAGGCGTTTCAGCTTGAATTACTATGCACGTGAAAGCTGAAAAGAAGATTTTTCTCTTGCATTGGTGCTACTCAATCCTCCTCAGCACCTCAAAACCCTTCTGAGACTCTAAGCTCAACATATTCTCTAGACCTTTAGCAGCAGATGGATAAAATATCAGGCAGAAGACTGTGTGTGGCTTTGACAGCAGCCAAAGCCAACAAAATATTTACTTCAAAGCTGGCAGAAGCTTGTCCAGCTGGAAAAAGCAAGAAATGTGTTCTAAAAGAGTAGAAGAGGGGAACAGAGAGTCATGATGTTTCAATCAGATCATGCCTGAATGATAATGGAAGTTCGTGAACTTACGTTCTAGGCAAAACGGAGGTGTCTGGTTTGTCCCTGTGCATCTTCATCCTGGCACAGGCATCAGATGGTGTTTTATGGACAGGTAAGGACATGGGCTGTGCAGCAGCTGAGCTAGAAACACACCTGTGTGTCTGTGGTCATGGTGGATGCCACCAGTGTGGGGACCGAATATGTCCCTCCTGCAGAGTCTTATGCTTTTCTGAATGAATTTTGGCTATTTGAAAATGTCAGAAATCATCTAGTTCCAACCCCCCTGCCATTGGCAGGGACACCTTCCCCCAAACAAACCCTCACCCACCCGGGCCTTGAACACTTCCAGGGATGGGGCAGCCACAGCTTCTCTGGGCAGCCTGGTCCAGTGCCTCACCACCCTCAGAAGGAAGAATTTCTTCCTTAGATCTAATCGAAATCTCCCCTCTTTCGGTTCAAAGCCATTGCCCCGTGTCCTGTCACTACACACCCTTGCAAAAAGCCCCTCTCCAGCTTTTTTATAGGCCCTTTAAAGCAAGTGCCATGGGCTGCGAGGAGGATTTGTGGCTGTGCTCGGCCTCACCTTCTGCAGCTGAGGACATCTACTTGCTGGCGCTGGCTGCTGGCATGGGCCACAGCTTCCTCCACCCACGCACCCTGGTTTTCTTTGGCCTCACTGTGAGAAATTCATTTCATGTTCTAAATGCAAATTCTCTAAAGGGTTTTCAGGATGCTAAGTAAGAATTTAAAAGGAACAACAAAAAGAAACAAGATATTTTTTTTTTTGCTTGAATTTGAAAAATAACTGGCCTTGAAACTGCTGTTTTTTCCCATCTCAGGATAGGACGGAAGACTCTTGCCAACACTTTGCAGCAGGGCTGTACCGCATTTCACATGAGGATTTGTAATTGCCTCTTAGGGACTGAAAAGCAAAAAACGGGCTCCGGTAAGCAAATGATTGCACAACATCTTCTACATCTGATTTTTTGCATTTGCTGAGCATCGCTCTACTGTCCTGGGACTTTCCTGGAAGATTGGCTGTAGCAATCACGGGGGCAAACAGATGAGGGGGAGACAGAGAGCAGCACTTGGTCCCTGTTGCCTTGGGACCCCATTAAGTCACCATTAGCTGTTTCAGTTAACTTTTGACATGTAAACCCAAGAAGGGAAAACTGGGAGAGAAGACACTCTTTTCTGGGGAGGAATCAACTTTTTTGTTGTTGTTACAAACTGGGCATGGGCTAAATAGTCTGGTGTATGGTTTACCAACAATAGCGATGCGTTTCAAAGTCACCCATTCAAATGAAATATAGACAATGATTTCCTTGAAATGTAATGTTTCCAGCAGAAGCTGTAGATCAGTGTTTCACTGAAAGCAAATCTTTCTCCTGGTCTGTAATGGCTGATCTCTTTCTTCTACACCCTTTGCTAGAAAGGGAAAATCACCAATGTTTAGAAAAGAAATGCTGATTTGCTATTTCCAGCTGTCTCACCTCCCACACAGGTGCCTAAAGAGTGATGCCAGGAGGGAAGATGGGCTAAACATGTCCTGTGGGGAAAACGCCTTTGATCCCAGCCCAAGAGCTGCAGGTGGGAGCACGAGCTGTCCTTGCCCAGCCACCCAGACCTCCACGCATTGCGCTGCTGCCGGG